TAGCAAATATCTTGAAACAAACAGCTTCCATGTCCTGTGTATCTTTAACCATTCATCTTTCGTAGAAATTGTCGAATCAAGTGATATTTTCTCGTCATGGATGTTGCTTGCGTCGAAAAATATTTTCCTACACAAATTCAATTTTGTTACATAAAGAAAGGAAAACACGCGGCGACACGTGTGTGAGAATGTATGTGTCATGCAGGTGATAAGAAAAATCGACGTTGTTGACACATGTTATCTCGATACGGTTTGTAATTCAAAGCGGCGCAAAATTTAACGAGAGCGATATGCGAAAAACGCATGATGAGGATAGCATTTATGTTTTCCGCAAATTTTATTCTCCACGATATAAACTCGCATCGCAAATACACGATATTTAGGAAATCAATGACGGTGGCGATGCGCACTATTTTGTTTCCCACAAGTTACGTGCAATACGTGTGTATGTGTGTGTTGCACGTAAAATGACTTTTCGTTATCACCTGACATTTCTTGCGACAAACTATTAGTCCGACGAATTTCGAATATTTCTCTGTTGCTAAGTAAAATTAGGAAAAACTTGACGAAAATTACAGTCATATGCGCGCTCTTCGCCTTAATTATTATAATTATGGATATATGTATTATAATGAAAAGCAATTTGCATGAGATATATAGCCTAGTTATATAAAAAAAATTGCAGATTGTGCGCGGATCTAATCATTTATTAGCGAAAACGGAGAATAATGCGACGCGTAAGGAGCAGCACTTAAGAATAATATTAGAAATAATAGGGGGATGATTATCGGAGGAGAGAATAATTTTACGCGATATCTCATTACGAGGCTTTTAATGCCCACCGAGACGCCTGCGATATTTGCGATTTCATGGAAGCTAATTGCTCTATTAATTTCACGCGAATGATTTTCTTGGAGCGCGACGTTTTCCTGTAACGCCAACTTTCTCGGCGTGTTCTTTCGCGATATTTGTCGCCTCGCTATCTCCGACGCCGGTTTTTTCGCAAACAGGGTTCTTTTCTCTCCCGCTTATCGGATACGCAAATACACCTCTCGCGTTACGTGTGTAATCATTGCATTTCCTATATCGGACCCTGTTGTCGCTCGACATCGATAATGTCGTAACGCTATTCCCGACGGTTTCCGTTACCGTTACTCCTCGCGGCGGACCCGTAATAAGGTGCGCGTTTAACGCCAATAAGAACAATGGTGCGCGAATACCACTTTTTATGCAATCGCAACCTTCGATCGCGGTTCTATCGTCGAGATCGTATACGATGCAAATGCACGAGTATCGGTCTAAAATTTCCCAAGGAATCTATAAAGCTGCAACTTCGCCTTCACTTGCATAGAATGGAAATTGCATGCGAGAGGCTTCGACTTTTTCCATCGTCGCGTTCTTATCGCGAGATATACATACCGTCCCGGTGTCTTGACGATAGCGTAATGCTTAGCATAAATTGCTTCGCAATATTCGATTTATTCTGGCTATTTATGCTCTACATGTGTGATAAGGTTTTTACATGAGAATCAATTGGGCACCAATGAATATCACGTGTAGACTTTATCTAATGATTCTCTTTTTCCTTTTGTATCTTATATTTTTTTTAATATTGTTGTATTCAATCTAGATCCCTTCATCGGTTTATTAACGTATAAGCATTATTTTTCATTATTTTTATTATTCTTATTATGCTTATCTTCGATAATTATACCGATGAGTCATGTAATTTATTTTACTTCGAACATGCACTTGCCTTTGCTCAATATTTATATGCTTCTTAACACGCGAATAATTTTATACCTCAGTATTCGAATTTTTTTATAAAATTTATATTTACTTTTTAATGCAAAAATTAGTTTAGAAAATTTTTTACCAGAAGAACCCTAATTTCTCGGAGATGTAGAGTGCGGAATGCGAGTGCAATTCTCTCTCTCTTTCTCTCTAAATAATTCTGCATGTGTGCTAATCATATAGGATCTGACGCACGAGCGACACACGTGCGATTCTCGTTATTACGCAGCCAAATTGCGGGATAAGAGATCAGCTAAGGGCGGCGCGGGTTAAATATAATTCGAAAGACACGTACGCATATATATATACACACACACACTAGGCGTAATCCCCCGCCTAGAGATAGAGAGAAACACATTTAGTCGCTTTAAAACTATCTCTCTGTGTTCTCTATGTTTCGTTTTTGGGTTACGCCGGTGCACGCTGATTCTCTCTCTCTCTCTCTCTCTCTCTTTCTGTCTTTCTCTGCCCCTCCCCCGCGGCGCGTGCTTGACGCGTTTCCGCACTCGTTCCCGCAAAGCACGACGAGCGATCCGCAACCGCGCGCCGCAGTTGACTTCGGTGCAGCGTTACGTGCACGTACGCGCCTAAAACGCGCGTACGTGGTACGTTACGAGCGTGTCTTTCTCTTCTGCGTGCACCTGCCGGGTGTCTTCAATCGCTATTGTTCTAGTGTCGAAACAACGCGAATTCTCGCGGGAGATCCCCGGCCGCGATCCCGATGCACGGCAGCGATCGGGAGGTATTTAGGGAAATCGGTGGGAGGATACGTTATTGTGCGAAAGGGGAAATTGGCGGGAACGGAACCTGGAGTCATCTCCTCGCGATTCTTCGTTATCTTTCGATATCGAGATATCCAAAGTAGTAGTATTATGCTCAGTTTCTTTTTCTTTGCGAGGAAGAGCAAAGATTTGAGATACACGTGTGACTTTCCTGGTATACATGATGTTGCTCTCTTGTCAGATATTTTGACACAATCGGATGAATGCCAATCTTCCTCTCTTTCGAGGATACCGAGTCGCAACGATAAACCTTGACATTTCGTGGACGTGAAGGTGAAACCGATTAAAATTGCGATCGATCTATATGAAACGCGCAAGAATTGAATTTAAATTGTTTGTGGGAGATTTGAAATTTTTTACGCATTAGTTTTATATTATATTATATTTTTTTATTTCTAATTTCTAATATTTTTATTATATTTTTGTACACACATTATATTTAATTCTTTCCATATAAAATGCCTTTTATTATAAATATAAAAAGTTACTTATTATTTATAGCGTTTGTGTATCAAGCAGAAAATTTGGTTAAAATCGTGTGGTTATTTAGAGATTAAAAAGACAACTCTTCGCGAGGAATTAGCGTTGGTCCGCAGAGTTTCTATTTTCGTGACAACCGCGTTGCTTATTCGAGCAACAGCGGGAATGCCGGCGTGGCCTCGATTTTTACACCTTTATAAAGTGGAATGCAAAGCAATGGTCGTGCAGGAATTTTCAAACGAGAGATATCTATAAATTTCACTTTTATATGAGCATTCTATAAACGTATGACATATCATTGCGGATATTTCAAAAATGTATGTAAAAATAAGGAATATTTAAAGAGACATGTAACTTTTCTAATGCTTTCTTTTCTACAAAATTTTACAGTTAATTAATTTTTATTTATCTTTGCCACAAGTAGAATGAAAAAAAGATAAACCGACTGTTGCAAAAGAGAGCACAAATTCAATTAAATCAATTATAATTTAGGATCATGGCATTTTTACTGAAGCATCTTGATATTTAATAATCTAAGCTTCGATTTAGTGTCTCGATTAAAATTACAATGTTTTGTTAAGTGCAACAACGATCTTTTTAGATCGTTTCCCGAGGCGTAATAATAGGAAGAAGGTAGGAGGGCGATCTCTCGGCTAATTCGAGATCGAGGATCGACTATTCTTCGGGATAAAACGTGAAGCGTGCCGCTGCAAAAAGAAACATGAATACGCTGGTTGCGCAATCCCGGGGATTACACACGGTATAAGATAATTGTTCGTCGCGATTGTATAACGCGAGTCTCCAGTTGTGGGATACGGACGTGTCGAGCGAATCACACGTGACGATTGCGCGAAAATCAATCGACCGTTATCGGACTCGGGGATTATAAAACGGAAACCGTAACGCGTTGGTGTCTCGATTCGACGAATTGAATATCTAATAATATCGTGCTACGCGAACGCGGCATCGATATCGCACGCGGATACATATATTATATATTTATCGCTACGTCTTTATTTGCAGTCGTTTTGCGGAGGTCGTTTAGCGGGATTAGAGCGATTAGCTTGCAAAGTTGTCGCGTAGCGATTCGCGAAAGATGCTCTTCGATTTTCAAATAAAATTATATCGCATCCTCGAGGAGGAGATGGCATCCATTTTTCCTCGTGTCTCTCGCTCTCTAAAAGTGAATCAGTGTATTATCACTGAAAAACAGTAAATAATTACTAATTACAGCAGTTAATAAGTACAGCACCGTAAATCAGTGTTATTTTATTGAAAGAATCAGTTAATAACTTTGACTGTTTCGATCAGTAATATTTCTCAATATCAGTAATGTTTCTTTCGTTATTGTCAGTAATATTAAACTACAATTCATCTCTCTATCTATTTCATATAAAATTAAAAATTTTATTTATATTTACAAAATATTTGTTATATTAAAAATTTTATTTTATTTATATTACATGTATATTGAACTTGTTATTTTAAGTAGATAACGAATGAATAATTTTCATTAAGTCATTTATTTGTCTGATTCATAAGATCGACTTAATATCTGAAATTAAATCGAAGTAATATTTTTAATTTTAATATTTTTAATTTTAATATTTTAATATTTTTAATTTTCTGTCGCAAACTTTATATAATTCTTATGAAAAATAATAAAACTAAATACGAGAAAAATAGTGATCGTAGCGTTAAACGAACGAGCTAGCGATTACTGGTTTTACAGTGAAATTTACTGGATTTACAGTGAATTTTATTTTAACTGACCATAATCAGTGAGATATAAGATAAAATAACAAAAAAAATAAGCGTTTCCACTGAAAATCAGTAAAATACTCGCTGATTCTTAGTGAAATCTTAATTTAAATGTTTAAATTACTGATATTTTCACTGATTCACTTTTAGAGAGCGAGATAGACATTTGTATTTCTTTTCAAGAACTCGCATATGTTTTTGACGTTTCGCGCTCTGTGACGTGCAATTTCGCACGAAAGCGCAGCGAATTTAACTTCGCGAATTCGCGTCGTCGCCGTCATCATCTCGGGCCGAGGCGGCGGCCGCTTTTTGCCCGCGAAACCGGCCGATCATCATCGAAGGAGACTCGTCGTCGTCCGCGGCCCCACGCGCTATCCAGTGCGCGACGTGACGTCGACCGGTCGCGCGTGATGCGCAACGAGAGCGCAAAAAACGGCACGGGAGAATGGGAAGGAAAGATGCGGACGAAACGTCGCACGAAATTGGAACGTGGCGCCTCGTAATTGCGTAATATCCGGGCTGTCACGCTCGAACGAAACGTCAAATTGCGCGCGCGAGCGTCCCCGAAACACCTGGATGCCATCGCTCGCGACGCCGATGCGCTTCCGAGGCATGGCACGTGAACGTTAAGCCGATGACTCGTAAATAAAAAGCGCGACGCGCATATATTCGCGGTAAATTTACTCGACGTCACTCTCTCCTTATCGTGTATATTGGTTCCGCGCGATTGCTCCCCTTCCCCCACGCAGCGGAAACGTCATTGTCGTTGTTGCTCCTTTTCTGACTTTCGCGTCATACCAGTGTCTCCGGTTTGATCGTGGAACGAAGTTCCACCGAGGCTCTTTTCTCGCTGACGTCTAAAGAATCCTTGTCGCAGAAACGGACAAAAGTCCGAGGCGAGAAATTGCAGGATAACGTGATTCGTTCCCTGAAATATCTCGAGAAATTGTAAAATTCTTGTGAGTTTCGCGCTGACATTCGCGCCGAGTGATAATAAATGATACGCGTGATGCGGCAAATTACAGTGTCCTTGCCGTAAGAGATCGTGAAACGTAAGACACGTGGCTAGAATATTTTTACTAGAAGCGAAATTTATGATAGAATGATATTTCGACGACAAACGAAAGCGATCTCGCGCAAATGAAAGAAGGAAATATGATGTGATGTAAAATTTTGCCGACGAGTGAAAATAGTTTTACGTGAAATTCACAGAGTATAAAGAAGCCTGAAAATAATCTATCGTCATCAAGCATCGTATGAAGAAAAGTTCTGATATAGAGAGAGGAATTCTCTGATAAAAGTGCGTTAATTACATCAAATGCGGAATATGTCGCTCGATTTTAACATTGTTATTTCGTCTGTACTCTCTGAAGTGAATCAGTGTATTATCACTGAAAAACAGTTAATAATCACTGATTACAGCAGTTATAAGCATTACAGCATTGTAAATTAGTGATATTTTATTGAAAGAATCAGTTAATAATTTTGATTGTTTCAATCAGTAATATTTCTCAGTATCAGTAATATTTTTTTCGTTATTGTCAGTAATATTAAACTACAATTCATCTCTCTATCTATTTCATAAAATTAAAAATTTTATTTATATTTACTAAATATTTATTACATTAAAAATTTTATTTTATTTATATTACATACATATTGAACTTGTTATTTTAAATAGATAACAAACGAATCATTTTCGCCAGACATTTATTTGTCCGACTTATAAAGATCGATTTAATATCTGAAGCCTCTCTATTGAGATTGTTTCAGAAATTAAATCGAAATAATACTTGTAATTTAAATGTCGCTCTTTGCAAACTTTATATAATTCTTATGACTAAAATTAAATACGAGAGAGATAGCGATCGTACCGGTAAACGAACAAACTAGCGATTACTGGTTTTACAATGAATTTTATTGTATTTTAACTGATCATAATCAATGAGATATAAGATAAAAAATGACAGAAAAATAAGCGTTTCCACTGAAGATCAGTAAAATACTCACTGATTCTCAGTGAAATCTTATTTTACTGTTTAGTGATATTTTCACTAATTCGTTTTAGAGAGTAGGGGAAATTAACACCGGAAATGAAAAATCTGCCCCTAGGAAGTAGGATAGGAAATATGGACATCGCGACTAACGACGTTCTTCCCGTGCGCTATAGTAGTGACACGCGTTTTCGAGACACGTTTTGCTACACCGTTGGTCGTCGCGATTTCATCGCGACTTAATGGCGTTTCACGCAACGGTATCTAACTAAAAAAAGATAGCTAGAAAGAAAAAGAAAGAGAAAGGACAAGAAAAAGAAATTCGAAGAATATCGATTATAGGCGATCGGAATCGAACATCGCGAGAGAAGAAGACTCTCTTATCATTCGACATATATTATATATCGGAGATGAATGAGATGAGGCACGTTTTGACAGCTTTGAGGTCGCCCGCGAAGAGCTCAACCTTGAGCAACAGCACTATGGGCATCGCGACGGCAACGTGGTACGACGTCCCGGCGCCAATAATCGTGCACTGCCGCGAATTTCACGAGGAGGCGGCGAGACACGACGTCGCCGAAGACGAGGAGAGTAAGAAGTCCTGCGAGAAAGAGACGAAAATCGGATCCATTGATGAGAATACGGGACTAGCTGGCTCCTTCGAGAAAGAGATTCATACAAAAGATCTCGGATCTTTGGAGAAGAACGCGAACATCGAGTCATCGAAGAAGGATACGACGATTGCAAGACCTTCGTCTTTCAATGAGGCGTTGTACCAGAACAAGGAGGCTGTCCTAAACGACAGAAATCGGAAGAGACACAGTACCACGGTGGAGCTGAACGCCACCACAATGGTAAAGACGGATGTCGATGGAGTACCCACCATCAGCTTCAGTTTCCTGCGGGTCGACGAGAAGTTTCACAATGACGGGGACGAGATCGTCATTCTGGAGGTCGACACGAGCGATCGGGTCGAGAACTCGCCGGAGAATCAACTGTACGATCTTCCTAAGAGCGCCGTCCCGAGTCGAGTCTCCTTGGAACAATCCGACGACAAGCAAACGAGTGTCGAATCCTCGTCGCCGGATCTCCAGGTTCTCTACGACGTGCCGAAGCCGGCGAAGGATGCGTCTTTGAATAGCTCACAAGAGGTAGAGGCTGCGATGACGCGGTCGAACGTTTCTTTCGAAAAGAGGAAACAGCCACGCGACCAGACGAAACGTTCCACCAGGTCGCTCAAGTCCGGCCGAAGGAGCTATGGCGCGTCCGATAGCGACGGCTACGACGCCGGTATAGCATCGATGTCGGGGTCGTACTCGGATCCCGAATGCCCGAACGAGGAGGGCTCGGTGAGCGGCGGTTCCGATCGCAGCAGACGGCTAAAGCTGCAGAAGCGGCGATTGGGCAAAGCCTGGGGCAGGATGCGTAGCTGGCTGCGAGAGGAGAGGACTAGGATCGGCGAGGTCGTGAACCGTCACGCGAGGCTTCAGGCGGTCGGCGCTCTCAGTCCCGAGGTAGCGCCAGAAAAAAAAGGACACGAATAAACGACACGCGATTAGTAAACATAACATTAGTTAAAATAGACGGAGAATGTAAAGGAATTTGAAAACAAAATTAGAGACTCGTTCGATTCTCCAGGGTTAAATTTTTTAACGTAGTCTGATGCTCTTCTGTATTCTTGATACCTCCATATTTAGCACTTTCTCTGCCTTCCTATTACTTCACATTCGGCTGGACACATGCGTGGAATAAAAATTAAAATTGTACGTCGAAAGGATTATTTTTATGCTACGCATGTTTCATTGGGATAGAGAAACTGCGTATCGAGAGAAACGGTCAAGAATGCGAAAAGATAAAAATTTGTAATCAATCATTTATGGAAATTAACTAAATTCTCATCATTTGCTTAAATCAATCAATTTTAACTAATGTTTATACCGTTGCTATATGTTATATACGAGGGATTCGACTACGAGCGGGATGAGTTTATAATTTGTAGAGGAGTTAAGTATACGACTCGACGTATGAAGTGGACCCTCGCAAATTACGGATTTATTCCGCTTTCACCCTGATTCATTGCTTCGTCGAGAATCCTACAATTGGCCATAATAAATAGCAACGTTGGACTAAATAACATAATGTGGGCTTCGAATATCAAGATTTTCAATTTCTCGATTCATAAAGTGTGAAAAAAATACAAAGTTGCAAACAGTTTAATGACAAGAAATTGAGAGATTCATTTCTTTTAGTTTTTGTTCGATAAAATTTTAGCTTTACAAATGTTTTATCGCATTTTAACAATTTTATGGAATTTGAGAGATTAAAATTATAAATTTATTAATGTAGTTTATTACGCTCTGTAACTATGTAATGTCTTGGAAAAAAAAGTTTTACTCTAGTCAAAATTAAATATATCGTTAAAAATCTTTCAATTATTAAAAAAAAAATTTATTGAGGACAAATTAATCAATTTAATTTAATTTATTTAATTATATAATTATTTTAATGCGTTTAATTTATTTAATTAACATCATACACGTAATCAGATTTTTATGATCAAACATTAAATCTATCGCAAGAAGAAATTGAGCCCTAGATTACGGATAATTTTTCTATTTTTTAATTATTAATTCACATAAGAAATTTATACAAAATCTCTTTTGATACAACTTTGGTCTCAAGTTTTTAAAAATTCATCTAGAATTATAACCGAAAAAACTATAGGAAATGATTACTCTTTTTTCTTTCAAATTTGGGGGAAATTATTTTTTATCGAACTGTATAATATTCTCACGATTAAAATGCGCACAAAGACAACGAGTCTTTTCTCTCGAACTTTTACTTTGATTGATTTCTCATCGGAAATTCCTTCTCGCATCAAGGTGCGAGGCAACGCCACTTTGCCGCAAACGTCCAAGAGCAAGCAGCGCGGCTTCTACGATTTGACACGGGCTCGTACCCAAGAGTCCGGCTCGATCACCAGGGTGGAAGAATTCGGATTGTCTTCGGTATCAGAGGAAGTCAACGTCTCCGATGACGCGGAGAGACCGACGTCGGCGTCGCCCGACTCGGGAAAGGCAAACAGCTCTCGAACATTACATAGCAACTTGAAGAGGAAGACGGTGAGTTCGGACGACATCTTAGAGAACAGCAGGACGAAATTGCAGCCGCCGGTGTCGTTCAGCATGGACAAGCTGTGCTCGGACGTGGAGAACGACGAAACGAGAACATCGCCGACGACGACGGCACCCGAGGTCGGCTGCGAAACGAGGGATCACGGTGGGAAAGGTGGCCTGATTAAGAGGAGAATGCTCGGGTCAATCAGAGGGTTAATGGCCTCCACTCATCTATTGCAGACCTACGAGATCGAGGAGGTACTTTGCGCTCACTCAAAGTCTTGTTATTTCTTTCCTGTTGCATGCTGACTGACATGTTTGCGCAGATGTCGCACACTTGGCACTTCACAGTGTGATGCGCATTCTTAAAGTTAGAGAGAAGGAGAAAATACGCGAGAATGAGTGGGAATAAAGGGCGTAACCGGCATAAATTAAAATTCGAATGGAACTGCAAAACGATTTTTTTTGTTATATTTAAACGCCATATAATTATAAGTCGATTAATCCTAATTAAATCAGCTAAAATTAGTAATAGTAGGAGAGAATGATTTATTCGTACTTTTTAACAACAGAAAAGTACATGGAGTAACATGACATTCCATAAAATTTTACATATTAATTTTTTTTTATTTTATATATATATAATATATGTTAATGATGTAATATGTATTATTAATATACATTATGTTATTAATATTTATACTAATTATACATATTTTAATATGTATATATATATATATATATATATATATATATATATAATAATTTATTAATGCAAATATGTTATTAGCATAAATTATGAATGTCAGACAATCTCCTGTATTCGATAGAAATATTTTTGATATTTATTTATTACATTTAAAGTTCATTTTTTTAGCATGTCTTCTTCGCGGTACTGCTCTTTAAATCTTTCATTGCAGCGTTAATTAAACTATTCTATTTCGCGATTGTCCTTGTCAAGTAGTTCACATGTGGGAGCTGTTTAAAAATCGTAATGAATGAGGCCAAATGAGCTTTACGATTCATTCAATGAGCTTTACAGTTCATTTAGGTCGAGATCATTAAAAACCAAGTCATATGAGATTAAAAGGGATCGTCCGACGAACTTTAATGAAAATCGAGAACAATCTTTGGTCATTAAAAACTACAGTGAAGAAGTGAACGTAAAAACTTTGGAAAAGAGGATGTGCAAAAGAGATGTATATTTCTAATTATTATTTTTTTATTTACTATATATATTTATTATATAATTATACGCAATCGTTTTTTGATTGAAAAATTTTTTTATACATCTCAATAATTTAAATCAAATGCAGTTTGTTTGCAAAGAAGAACCCGATTCCTGATTGAAATAACGTTCAGGAATTCATGATTCATGCATCAATATTGAATAACATTTTATTGTCATCGCATATTTATTCCGTTTGTTTCCTCTAATCGCATTCTTAAATTCTGAATAAGAAAAATATGCAAAAATTGCTATTTAGCATAAACTATAAATGGAATAGATAGAATGAATATAATGAATTATAAATGTAATGGAAACTTAAAAATATTCAATCGTTTTTGGAAATATGCTATCAGATATAATTAATTTTTTCATCACATATTTTATTATATTATTCACAAATTTTATAGAAATATCTCTTTAATTGAGAGATTCGCGACATTGATTATTTTAAGTATTGCAATTTCATAAATTTTTCAAGTTTTATTATTAAAGCATTTATTATCTGTCCAGGACATCTTAGAGATATCTTAAAAAGGATTTTTCGCGTATTAAGCCACGTGTGGATTTTTATATCGCCACTTTTTGCGCAACGCGCTCCTCATTGGTTGTCTACACAAAATTACCTCGTTTCCACGGATATTTTATAGCAGGCACAAACCGAGTAGCCATTTCGATGAGACTTTATGAGATGCTCGCGCGATAAATAAGCGACATCCGTGTAGTTAGAAACTATACTCCCATGCATTTTTTTTCATTCGATGACATTTTTCATGCTGGAGATCGCTTTCACTATTACAGCATTTTCTGACGCGTTTAGAATGCTTTTTGTCGATTTACCAAAGGTTACACATTATATCATTTGAATGTGAATCTATTACGCATTGAAGATTTCTTTTTCTTTCTTCTAAAACATATTCCGCTGATTATCCTGGCGAATCGAAATTTCTTCGACGAATATTAGCATCTAGATTTTGTACTTTCGATTTTTTTGAAACTTTTTCTGATGAAAGTTTGCAAAAAAGAAAAGAGAATCAATGAAAAATTATTTGAAATTAATTTCGATAGTATATTTTCTAAAAGCTACACATGCAACTCTGAAAAAAAGTAAAATCCAAGATATGACCAAAGATATGAATCTCCAATACGGAGAGAGTGTTTCGAAAAGTTCGCGATCTTTAATTAATAAGTATAATGTATAATTAACACACGGCCAAATGTCGCCGGAGATATATCGCTCGCTCGTTTCCCGGTTCGCATCCGCTTTCCCCGAGTCGAAATTTTACAAGAGAGACCGCTCGTCCGATCGAGAGATTTATCGACAGTCCAGGAGAAATGGCGCCAAGAGGCAGGCACACAAGTGCGCCTCGAAGCATCGCAAAAGCAAAGCATGGAAAGTGTGGGAAAGTTGCGCGGAGAAAATAGTCGACTTTGTTTCGTGCACACACATACAGACATATGTATAGACGTGTGTCGTGACGCTTGACCGCCTTCTACATGTGTTCCTCTCACAGTTGTGCGCGTACAAAGCGTGCTTAGAGACCCGTGGCCCTGGAGAACGGAAAAGATTGCGCTCTGCACCTTGACTGCACTTGCATTCGACCGCGGATGCCTCGATAGCATGGGGGTCATCGCGAGTTTCTCCGTCGTTAATTTTACGCGATTCGTGACGTATGAATTCGTCAAGGATGTGCAGTAAATTGAAATAGATGAGATCGTGTATTAGTTTTGTCGAGAGCAGAACAGATTAGAGAAACACGCTCGTGTTCGTCGCGTTTCACGAGAAACGACCGGGCAATTTTATCGCCGACGCACTCGATTGATGTGACAATTACTGTCAGGCGATTTTTAATTAAACGTTCGATATATCTTGTATGATCAACTCTGCTCTTCTTACGATTTATTGTATTTTGCAGAATTTTAATTTCGTCAGAACTGCCGTAAAAAATTACCGCTGCTAATCGTCATGTAAAATACACTCTTATTTGTGCAATTTCTCAATTGTTGACGCAACGTTTGATGGAAAAACGAAGGAGAACGAGCGGCAACGAGAGAGAAGAAAAAGCGAGAAAATTTCTATTCAGATTCACATTTCGCCAACGTGTGCGAAATTAAACGCGATGGAAAGTGCCACGCATGCATTAAGAGAGGCGAATGAAAGACAGGCGGGCGGTTGTCTTCGCGACCTCCGCGATTTCTCCGCGAGAAGGCTAAACATGGAGGAAGTATATACTTGCCGGTAAAAGGGAAAGGAAAGAGAGAGAATAGAGCGATTCGTTAAATATTCCGACGGTGCGGTTTGCGAACAAGTCTCGCGGAACGCATATACGCTCGTCGTTATTCATGTACGATCTCGCTCTTGTAAGCTCGATGCAATCGTCCTTGTGTTGACGCCTTTGTGAGAAAGTACGGGAGGACGATGAAAGGGATAGTTGCCTATATTAGAAATATTCAAATTTTCCATTCATTATACAGAAAAAAAATAAGTGTCAAATCAAGACTTATATACTTAAACTAACGCGTTCATTGTTTTGTATATACGCAACAATTTATAATCTTCTTAAAAGAGTTTAATAATTTTAAATTTCAACGATATTACAGTCTTATTTTACTATTGTAATTGTCACCTCAAGAATATATAATTATTTAATTCTACTTTAAGAAAATTATCTTTGATTTAAAAATGTTACTTTCCATCTAACATTGTTTCTTTTTCATTCAAGAAAATTAAATCTTAAATCATAAGAATATATTTTTCTTGATTTAACTATATAAAATGACTTTATTTAAATAAGCAATTATTCAAGCAATTATATTTTTCTTTAATTAACGCGATATAATCTCACTTCAAGATTTTCATGTTAAAACTAAATATATTTTCAAAACAAGGATGTCCTTTTTTTCTGTGACAGATGCGAGCGCGATCGTGGTTATATTTAATACTCGATTTTCTCTCAATTTTCCATCTATTAGAAACGCGCCATATATTAAGCGCGCGTTATTTATCGTAGGCGAACATACGGGGCATTTCTTTGGGAGGGATTTCATTTCTAGATATTTCTTTTTTCAACAGAAATTTAATTATTTTCCGTTATTAATTAAATGAGCATCGTCATACGTATTTTTGGTATTAAATTAGGACGCGATTTAATGAGCTATAACAGTCCTTTGCAGAACACAAAAAGACCGCTCCTCATGTCGATGAAAGTTTCTTTGTTTAGCGATAAATAGATGAACTCTCGCCGATACAACGAGATAAAAGGGAAGTCCCATTCGGGAAATTCGCACGCGTTGCCTCGCATTAACGAAGGATGTGTGCAGACTCATCCGTATTTAAGCGACACATATGTGTTAAAACGGGCATATATACAAATCTCGGACAGCCGGACTTATGTATCGATGCGTTCAAAATAAAATAGCCGCGTATAAATTAATGATTATTAAAAAATGTCTTATGTCGATGAGAAAAAAATTAATAAATTCCAATAAGAGCTCATTTTTTATACAGCCACATAATCGATAAAAATAAATATGAATCGACTAATATTTCGAGAGAATACTAGATCGCCTCGTGTGATCGATTCGCGCTCTGTAATAGATTCGATGTGGTCATCGACTGGTCGTTGACTGGCGGCGCACCTGTCCCATTGAAGCGGACGGCAATAAACCACCTGTTGCAGGCGCACGCCCGTTCGCCGTCATCGACGCACCGTGAACAGACGTTTCGATTAACCTTTCGAATCCCGTGCGAATTGATAATAATCACCGACTTATTTCGACCGTTACTCGAAACATTTGCGATACTTGTCACTGTAATGGCGTATTTACGCGTTACATTCGGATTAATGGAATCGTTGGCAACGCGAGAAATTTTCATCAGCGCGAATTTTTATCTCGCACCAGTTCTTATTCAGAATGATGGCGCAATTCGCCTGTTTTGTACCTCGCATAAAATGCGTAGCAGAATTCTAAAAGTCGCTTTATAAACGATGTGTTTTATAATTTGTTGATAGAGATCGGTACAAGATTC